TGTAGGGAAGGAACCCCTACCTGGAAGGATGTCTCTAAATGTGAGAACGATCTACCTGCCATACTGGCTACCCATACAGAACTTGTACCACAGAATTGTGTACAGGAAACAAGAACAAGACTAAATTTTTCCCTAATGGGCTTGAGAACAGCATTGGAAAAGCAGGCTTTAAAGCACTGTTCATGAAGGAAGGACTAATGAAGTGAGCCTCTGACGGAGAAGAAAGGGGAAAAAAACAAGCCATTAAGCAAGATTCACAAGGAAGCAGTCAGAAATAGAGAACTGAATTGCCTAGGAAGAGCTGGTTACAATTAAACACCAGTGGTCTGGAGCCATAAACTGTTCTGGTTAATATTTCTTTCCCAATATTTTCCTGGATCATCTCTATCTAGTGAACACCTGAAATTCCTTTGATCTCAGGGTATTTTACTATTGCAATGTAGGGATTACCTGACCTACTCACACAGGGCAGGAGCAATTTAACCTCAAGGAACATAGGGCTGATACATTCTGTGTTCATGGGGTAGAGTAGGCCTTCGGACAAGATGCTGGGGCTCTACTCCAATTAGAGGACAAACCCTAAATCTCTTAGTATTCTCTTCATTCTTCACCATATGACTTGGTGAAGACATGAAATTTAGACCAACCTGATGGTGAGGAGAGACTGTTCTCTTTTCTATATAATCTTAAAACATTTACAGTAAGTTTAGGCTAGATACCTGTGCCCTGCTCAATCCCCATAAAACCCAAGAGCCTACAGCAGACCAGTTTTCATCTCCTTTCATGTTACCCCAGGGCTCCCAGTCACCTCTGCCGAAAACATGGCTCTGCCCCCAGATACAAAACACCATCAGCTAAAGAACAATAAGAATGAGTCATCAAATACCTAAATCCTGATGGCATGAGAGCCCTAAACTTGCTAGTGTCACACAAAACTTCACCAAGGAGAATGCCCTTCCTAGGTATAAATAAGAACACAGAACCCCCCAGTGCCTGCATTCTACCACTAGGACTCTCTCATACACATGGGATTCTCCATCTGCTGAACAGTCCTGATCGCATGTCTTCTTGCCTACCAGTTCACCACAGTTAATGCTCACTCTTACAACTCCAATCAACAATATAAAGGTACAGGAGAATTTAGATTCATGCTAAAGACCGATTAAAGGATGATTATTTGGCTTAATGGGAAAGTATTTTAAACAGCAAACTCCCTTAGTGCTTTTTAAGTGGGATTCGGTTTGCAAAGGCTTACATACATTTTAAGCATATATCCAATCCTTGTGCTGGTGCTGTTTCCCATCAATATGACACACAGTGTTTAAGAAGTTAGCATCTCTGTCCATGAACTGAGTTCATGGGAACAAGTACACATATACTAATGCAAAAAGAGAAAAGGTAGGAGGAAGACTGAAGAACATGGAGATGGATTTTATAATATATTGTTTTAGGAATAGAGCCTCATTCCTAGATTCTCCCCTCTCCCTCTCCCCTCCCCTCCCCTTCCCTCCTCCTCTTCTCTCCCTCCTCCCCCCTTGCCTTCGTTTCTTCTCTATTCTCTTGTGACAGGGTCTCACTATATAGCCCAGGCTGGCCACAAACTATTTTCTTGCCTCAGTCCCCTCAGTGCTAGAATTCCAGGTGCTTCCACAACCCTGGTGCGTCTCATCATTTTTAAAATGGAGCAGTTACTTTTAGTGATATTTGCTTTGTGTTGTTTTATACAGGATGCATACCAGCACTATGTGGTCTTTCTACAAGGAGGAAATGTGATCATATGTTGATCTGTGCTCAGATGCTGTATGAAGGACACAGTCTGTGACTGGAGCAGAACAAGCTGACTAGTTCTCCCAGATTAAGGACAGGACCTTGGCCTTTTATCATTAGCATTCTGCAAACGGACAGTCAAAAATTCATGTTCTGGGACAAAGAGGAGGTCAGTGTTTTAAGTTATGCAACACTGAAGTATAGGCAGGCAGAAGGTTATAAAAGACTAGAGATCTAGAGTAAAAAAAAAAAAAAAGAAAACCTCACAATTTGAAACAGGAGTTAAAATGATCAGGAGACAAATTTTCAGCTAGTATTAACAATTCTACAAAAAGTAAAATTTAAACACTCAAAAATGATTTTTCATTAACTCAGGCCAATATATTATGAAATACCTGCGCATTGTTTTAACACTCATTATTTTCAAACATTTGGTCAAGTATATCAGAAAAAAAAAATAACAACAAAACCAGTCATTTCAAAAGGAAATCCCACAAAATATATAAATTATAGGCTAGGTTATATTAATTTTTATTAAAAACTTTTTCTTATGAAAATATATTTCCGCATATTTAATAAAAATCTTTATTAGCTCTGAGGTTAATAACATTTAAAAAAATATTTTATCAGCCAGGCATGGTGGCGCACACCTTTAATCCCAGCACTCGGGAGGCAGACGCAGGCAGATCTCTGTGAGTTCAAGGCCAGCCTGGTCTACATAGTGAGTTCCAGGACAGCTGGGGCTACAGGGAGACCCTGTCTCAAAAAGATCCCCCCAAAAAAACTTTTATTATTTTTATTTTATGTGCATGAGTGTATTGCCTGCATGTATGTAAGTGCACCCGTGTTGTACAATGCCCACAGAAGACCAGTCAGTGTTCTTAACCACTGAGCCATATCTCCAGCCCCAGTAACATTTTTAGAGCCCTTAACCATGATCTGCCTACTGTTCTAAGAGTGACTGTCTACTTACCTGTCTCTCTCTTTTTGTCTCTCTCTCTCTGTCTCTCTGTCTGTCTCTTTGTCTGTCACACACACACACACACACACACACACACACACACACACACACAGAAAAAAACAAAAAAAAACAAACTTGTACTGGCCAAGAATGACCTTGAATTTCTGATTCTGGTCTTCACCTATACTTCCTAAAGGCACATAGCACCATGTCTTACTTTATGTGGTTCTGAGGATCAAACCCAAGGCTTCATGCTTACTAGGCAAGCACTCTATCAACTGAGCTAAGCTCTGAGGTTTATACACATCACCTTGTTTAATTTGCACAACTTACTGAGGTAAAGAGAATTATCATTCTCAATTTACAAATAAAAACTGAAGAGGTTAAGTAATTTTCCCAAAGGCTAATATAGCTAGCACACGGTAGTTATTTAATTATCCTGAAACTCTACAGAAATTATTAAAGAATGATTACATTTGTATAAGTATGGTAAAGAAATGCCTTTAAAACTACACAGATCTGCTACCCTTTAATCCCAGCACTCAAGAGGCAGGGGAATGTTTATCTATGAGTTCAAGACCAGCCCGGTCTAAAGAGTGAGTTCCAGGCTACCAGGCCAACTAGGGCTACATAGTGAGACCATGTCAAAAAAAAGAAAGAAAGGAAAAAAGAAACCAAACAACTTCACAGACCTATCCACACTAAGCATGCTAAATGCACTGATCTTGCTCCGCATCTACTCATGGCTACATTTGTGGCTCGTTTGCCTCTCCTAAACTGAATTTATGTAAAAATAAAACAAAACACCAAAGCGCTTAGACCATGGGAGAAGACACTAGGTTATTTGTTTTACAAAATTATTTGCTATTTGACCACATAATCCATTTGAGATGCCTTTTAAGTAGTAGGTTAACAAATGTTCTTTACCTTTAAAAATTGAATTATTACATCTAAACATGTATGTTACAGAAGGAAAAACAGCCACATATGAAAAGTTGGGCCACGTACGATATCAATTTTGGAAGTGAAAAGGCACCTTCAACCTAAAATAAAACATTTTGTCATTTCCTCTCAACTAATACAAGGAGTAGAGATGACCGAAGTGAAAACGTTCAACACTTTTCAAAGGTCTATATGGTCCTTCAGTGGTGCAATTTTTCATTTTTATTACAGGGCTGTGCATCCACCAGGGCTGGAGTGTCCACTTTGGTAGCACTAACTTACCGGACTCAAACGTGCTGCCATGCATTAACATATCTATGATTTTTCAAATTGATGTTTAATGTCCCAATATTTAAAACAGAGCTGTCTTGATATGATAAAATCAAGAATAATGAGGTTATTAGTTATTAGGTTTTTGAACTTGAACCATCCACGCAAGGTTTACAGTTTCTCTCAGGACTTGAACCAGCCAAGCAAGGGTTGGTTTCTCAACACTTGAAAGACACAGGGATAGCTTTTCTTAAGCATTCACAACAACGAAAAAGACTAAGACCAGACTAAGTGAAAATTGACATTTTATTCTTATATTTATCTGATTAATTTGAATAGTTCTGACTTAGATTAGATTTTGATTTCCCTAAAAAAAATTACATATATATAATTTGAGCAGTTGGCTTTCCAAAGGAATGTTCAGATTTAAACTATCTGACGTTGCTTGTGGGCATTCAGCCTCTGGCAATATTTTTCAATGGTTTGGCTTGTACAAAATCAAGTATGGTATGTTTTTGTAGCTTCTGTTAAAACAGAGCTTAGATGTTTCCATTTTCTAGCTATTGCTCCTTTTAGCAGATGTTCAGGGTGTTATTTATTATACATGAATGACATGACTGCAAATCAGGTTTAGCAACTAGTGTCGTGGCTTGGTTGTGTGATTAACACGAACCACTCATTATATCCCTAGTTCTCACAAAATATGGAACTACAATATGTAAGCTATCAATTCAAATGCTTACAGGAGAGAGAAAATGAAAAAAGTGGATAGATGAAGAAGTCAGTCATTCTTCAACCTAAGTTAGTTTTTGAGTTCTGGTACCTACTACAGTGATTGCACATAGACGACACATAATGTTAGGCTCTTAGAAAGCAAAATAAGAAAAATGTGTTTGGTAGTCAGTTCTTCCTACTTCCTAAAGGCAGAAGTAAATACACCACATTTATCTGGAATAAACACTTAAGCTAAACAAGAGCTGAGAGTGAACCAACTGTCTCTGTGTCAGAACTTTTAAACAGAAAGGACCAAGGACAGTAGATTTGTAACAAAGTTGCTTACCTTACAAACAGAAAGAATATTAGTATTTAGCAGTTTCTTGATGATCTGCAAAAAAATTATAATTTTATATAGATTTGATCAGAAAATTAAAGATGTTACACATATACTTAATTGATCTAGTGATATATCAGAAGTTTCTTCAAATATTGTAGAGACTTGAACAATGATAGGATTTGGGGTGGAGAGGCCATTTTAGTTTATCTGAGCATTATATTCACAATAAGAACAGTAATTCACACTAATATGCAAAATGCAAGGTAAATACACAAGTCAAATGTGGAAGCGAAAAGACACCTTAAACCTAAAATAAAACATTTTGTGATTTCCTCTCAACAAATACCAGGAGTAGAGATGACTGAAGTGAAGATGTTCAATATGTTTCAAAAGCCTATATGGTCCTTCAGTGATGCGACTTCTCAGTTTTCATTACAGGGCTGTGCACCCATCAGGGCTGGAGCGTCCATTTTGGTAGTGCTAACTTACTGGACTCAAACATGCTGCCATACATTAACATGGCTATGATTTTCAAATTGATGTTTAATGTCCCAATTCTTAAAACAGAGCTGTCTTGATATAATAAAATCAAGAATAATGAGGTTAGAGCTATTATTGATCCTGGCACTGTATAAAAGACATTAGAAATATTTCCTCATTCAATTCATCTAGCATTCTTGTAAGGCTGCCTATTTTACATTTGTGGATGAGAAAACAGATTACCTATGGTTAGGTTCATTTCCAGACTAACTCAGGTTAGTAGGCAGAAGAGCCAGGGTGTGAGCCACAGCAGCTGGACTCCATGCTCAGCTGGAATCATTCCAACTCATGGTCTCACTTATACCTTCAGGCCTCCTTTCTGTTACCACAATAAACAAAAAAGACTCACATTGTCCAAATCAGGAATTTCCAAAAAGTATTCAGGATACTCATATGACATTCCCACGTTGTTCACTGAAATAAGACAAGATTGTTAGCTAAGATGTAAAATAATCTCCTGAAACAAGATAAATCAATCAAAACTAAAATGATACATAGACTATATTAAAGATTGTTCATGTCTAGTGTGACCTTTCCTACAGCTTTCTATCTAGAATCTATCTTTACCAGTCTAGTTCAAATGCCCTTTCTTCACTGAGCTCTTCTGTCTATAATTACTGTCAACTTCTCTACACCTCCCCCACTTCTACACCAGCTCTTTGGGATATATTCATTCTCCCTCTGCACTAGTTATTTGCAGATACTGTCAAACTCTTCTTTGCATCCTACATCCTCATGTACAGTTCAGGAGACTGCAAACTTGAGTCTAGTTGTAGTTACAGCACAAAATTTGTAACCTTGGATAAATCACATCCAATTTCTACCTCTGCCTGTTCACCCCGATATAAGAGCTTATTTAGTCATGTGACAAGTATTTGTCACACACTTTTAGGCAAGGCATGTGCTGCTAGGAACTAGAAAGGGCAGAAAGAAAGGGGTTTCCACTCTGTTAGGAAGAAAAAGGTGCTCAACTAAAAGAATCAACTGTTTTACAATAAAGTGTTTAGTGCAATGAGAGTGTAACTTTATCTGGGAAAAGAGAAGTTTTCTTGTGGCAGCCAAGAGGGCAGGTCAGACCAATTATCTCTAGTAAGTCACCCATGGAAGGCTGAGGCCATGTTTTCATTTCCCCTTCACTCTCACTGCATAATCACCTAGTTAAGGTTAGAGTTCTAAGACTACTGACCCAATACAAGTAAATTTGTATATATTTTTAGGTTTAAGATTTGGAGGCTCAGATATCCTGTGGTTTTCTTCTAGCCCCATAAATGCAAAGACAAGTCCTAAGAAAGGAACATTTACAAGAATCACAAGATGAATAAAATATCCCTGAGTCTGCATTACTAAGTAACCTACAAAATGGATCATCTACTCATTCACTTGCCTACACTTAGCTACCTCAACAATTCTATTCGTGATTTCTATATTACATCCTAGAAACTGAAGTTCGCAGCAGTTAAAAGTAACTTGCCCAAGATCACAGAGCAAACAAAGCCAGAATTCAAATACAGATGCTTACCTTCAGAGCCTAGACTTAATCACTACATGAAAGTTGCCATGTGCCTTCATCTAGGATTCAGTTCAGGAAAAGCTATCAGTAATAATTGAATAAACAAAATATCTACTAGCAATGATTAATAAAGCTCAAGTATTGGAAAAGAAAGGTTTCAGTTGCAAGAAGATAATAAAATTATGGTCAGTTTGCTAGCGCGCATAAGGAATTGTGCCAAATAAACCTGACAGCAGTAACTTTTTCAATAGACTAACAAAATTAGCAGTTCGAAGGAATGCAATGAGAGTTCTATATTTAGCAAAGTCAGTCACTTGAGGCTGAGTCTCCAGATTCTACTTGTAAAATTCTGTCAGGATGGCTTGAATAGGCCATGAAACCTGTCTGAAAGTATGAAAGTAAATAATGATGGCAAAGCAAACTGTACTTAATTAGGATGCATGCCCACTGGAAGAGGGAAAAAGGGTGGTATCTAGACACAATTCATACAAACAAGTCCAGATTCATTTTGATCTTATCCAATAGGTCCTCCCTCTACCATGAATCTCAGTAATCACAATTATAAAATATGTATTAACAATTAAGTCACATAATCAAAGGTAAGGCTTCTCGTTCAGTTAACTCTGCTTTAATCATTACAGAAATATAAAGGATGAATAGTTTATAAATACTAAATAGTACAACTGTGAATATTTTAGGGTCCACAGTTGGTTAGATATTTTATACTGTTGTTTTGAAACATAGACGTTTGCACCAGGACTCTCTTTTTGCCTTATTGTATGCACCTTCTGCTGTGGGGTGCAGGGTAGCTCTCATCCTTTACAGTAAATGACCAACTCCAAGTGTTAGTATTTAATAGCATGAAAAACTGCTGCTCCTCTTAGCACTGAGAAAACAATATCCCCAAATACAGTACCATGGGATACTGATAATTTTAAATTAAAGCCACTTGGGGATCAGTAGATTCTGGACAAGACTTAGCTCTGAAGTTACCATCTTCTTAAAAACTGGTCCCTCCAAAGAGGGACCCAATTGCCTTCAGACTTCTGAGATATCTTTAGCCAAGGAAGATTAAACTCCCATCACAGAGGACACTAAAAATCAAGCATCATCATACCTAGAGTTAGAGAAATTTGTCCCAGGGCTTTCTCTCCTCTCTGGGCCTATTCATCACCCCTAAAATCATTTCCTACCCTTCTACACCTGCCTGTGTCCCTCCTGTATACCTTTAATCATCTGACTCTTATTTTCAGTTTTCCATTTTGTGGGGCTCTGGGCACATGTGTGTGTTGAAAAACTGTATGCTGTGTCAGTTTGTTTCAGCAGGCTGTACTATCAAATCTCTAGGGAAAGTTTGGACTCCACTCCACCCTCCCAACAATTAGTTCCACCAAGTGCAGAAAAGTGCAAAGCTCTTGGAAAAGGCAACCCCCTTGCAATTTTGTTTTGAGACAGTAGGTGGCAGCAACAACCAAACAGCAAACAGAAAGCTTCCAGGGAGCTGCTGAAGGAAGAGCACTGCTTTGAGTAAGGGTGGAAGGTGGAAATATTCTCATTATAGTCAGTCTCGTTAAGAATGGGTGCAGGCAGTCCCCTCCTTTATATATTTCAAGATTCCTTATAGGATTCACAAAAACAGTCTCATGAGTTATTCTAACCTTACTCAGAAAGATGAAAAATCCCTCCTAAAGGGTAGCATCTTAAATCACTATTGAGGCTTACATTATTAGTGAATTTTCTTGCTTCTTCAATCAGTCATCACAGCCCCCAACCCCGCTCCACTCTGGTGGCCTGAGAAACCCTTTTATTAGTAGAAAATACCATCTCTTTCAAAAAACAAAGCCTATCCGTGTAATGTCAAAATTCTATTGTCTCAGTAACTGTCATAAGGCCTTGAACACTAAAAATCTTTCTCGTGTTTCTTATGGGAATGCTAAAACTGGAAAGAGCTTCTTAGTTTCTTTTCTGGTTGCTGTGATAAAGCATCCTGACAAAAGCAAATTAAGGCAGAAAGGGTCCATTTTGGCTCACAGTTTGAGGTGACTATCCATTGTGGCAGGAAAGTCACTGCAGCAGGAACAGAAAGCGGCTGGTCACACTGCATCCACAGTTAATTCAAAGAGTGATGAAGGCCTGTGCGCAGCTCACTTTCTCTTTTTCATACAGTCCAGGACCCAAGCCCAGGGAATGGTGCTGCTCGAGTTTTGGGTGTGTCTTCCCACCTCCATTAACCTGATTGGCTTAATCCCTCACAAGCAAACTCAAAGGCTAAATAATTCCTCCAGGTGTGCCTGGAGGCTTGCTTCCTAGAAGATTCCAGATCTCAAATTAACAATTAGATTAATTATCAGAAAGCCCCAAAGAAGAGTCAGGGGTGACAGGGACAGAAGTGCAGACAAACCAAGGAGGACAAAGAAGAGGAAAGACAAGCTGGTTTGATATGGATCCTCAAAGGAGAGGACTGACAGGGAGCTGCACTTAGCTGCCCTGCAGCCTGGTCTTGAGCTCCAGAGAACACTACTGACAAGGGAAGGGCTGCATCTTGAAGACTCAGGAAATCCAGAGCAATTGTGGATGTTATATTAATATTCTAAATTATATAATATTGCTTAAGAATAATTTCCACATCTCATTCTTTAAAACAAAACCAGGACAAGATTATGTTCCAAGTTCATGTGCTGTTGTTCTGGGTGGATCTAGAATCCTCTATCAAAACCAGCTGCCAGAGATAGAATGATGTCATTAGAAAATTAGATTTTTGGTATCTGGGTTGGGCATGAGGGTGGAGCAAACAACAATAAACTACTAGAAAATGAAAATCCATCCATGCACTAGTCTCACACAGACCACTTTCAACTCTGCCTAATGGTTGGGTTTCCAAACACAAAAATCACATAATGTGAGGCATTCTCTCTCTCCTTCTGATGACATCAAAACAGAAAATGATAAGCTTACATTTCAATTACACTTGTGTGCATATATTAGTATATATATATATATATGTATATATCCAGTTCCAGAACTTAGAGTTCATTAATAAAATCTGTTTCAAATAATGTCATTTCACTGTATTTTGAAATAAACTTTGATTAAAAAAATGTGGGCTTCAGAAATAGTGAATATGTCCAAAGACATGGGTGGGAGGATGTATGACACCTCTTTCTCAAATTTTTGTAGAATGGGCTGAGGGTGGACCTAAGTGGGAGAATGTATGCCTAGCATGTGTGAGATCCTGAGTTCCAACCCCAGCACTGACACTTTACAGAAAGAATGACTGTAAAAGACTACAGATCCCAGAGTCTAACAGTGCCAGGGTTCAGTCCTGGTTATATTTCTACTGCTCCTAAAAAGAGCAGATAAACCAGTTTCCTCATTGCTCTTTATATATGAAATAGGGATAATCAATTACAAATCAAACGACATAATGACAAATGCATACAATCATTAATCCAGTGTCTAGAGTATATTAACATGTCAACAAATGGAGGAAGCAAAGTTGCTGTTATGGGACCACTCATCCAACATGTACTTACTGAGATCCTCTTTGTGCCCAATACCAAGGGTCCTGCTTTTATTATATATGACCAGCATCGACATGAAACCTGAAAGACAGCTCTGGGCAGCTGTTAAACAGAGTGGCCGTTTATACTGATTAGATTTATCCCAATACCTCCTCTACCCTCTTTACAACATTCAAATAGACCTAGTCTTAGGGAGACAGTGTGAAAAGTGATGCAAAGAATTTTCCTTTTTTGCCTTCTTTAACATATTGCTGGAGCTAGCACATGTTCAGACACTGACAGATGATATTTGGAACACTATGTAAAACATTTTGCAAACTTTACAGTTTTCATACACTTGTGAGTAGCAATTTCCAAATAAAAGAGAGTTTACAAGGCTTTAAATTTGCACCGCTTTTAATGAGAAATTGAAAAATTAAGATTGAGTCAGAGGCAAAATAACACATTTCCTTTTCACTGTTTATTATAAATTGCTATGTGATCCTCACTACAAAATTAGGTAAGATTTGGCATGCATAAAACTGGAAGTGAGGCGGCGGCAACGAGAATGGCATGAAGTTGGTGTTCAGTGTGAGCTAACTGGGGATATTTATCAATTTCTATTTACATTTTTGAAATCACAGAGCTAATTATCCAGTTTTAAGCCAAGGGTTCTGCTTTAATTAATATCATTAGTGGTTTCTAAAAGGAAATAAATTTGAATCTAAAGTCCTGCGCTCACTTTAGAAATGCAATCTCAAGCCAAGCATGGTGGCACAACCCAGCATTTGGGAGGCAGAGGCAAGTGGATCTCTGTGAGTTCAAGGCCAGCCTGGTCTACATAGTGAGTTCCAGGCCAGCTAGGGCTATAGGGAGACTCTGTCTCAAAAAGACACACACACACACAAACACACACACACACACACACACACACACACAAAGCTATCTCAGTCAGCACACGTAATGGAACAAGGCGCTCTGCTTAGCCGGAGAGTGTTCCTGACTAGTGTCCCTCCACAGATAAACCCACTTGTCTGCTCTATTTCTATGAGTGCCTTTCACCCCCCAATGATCCAACTGGCTACTTCAATCTCCACTGGATTTCTCACAACTTCTAGAGCCCAACAGGACTCAAGATGAAATTATCATTTTTCTCTACAGAATTTTCTCTGCAGCCAGAGTCTCCTGACTTAGAAATGCCTCTGTTGTTCAAGACCTGGAAGTTGCTAGCGGAGTGGTTATCTAATTCTGAACAACACATAGTGAGTTCCAGGCCAGCTAGGGCTATAGGGAGACTCTGTCTCAAAAAGACACACACACACACACACACACACACACACACACACAAAGCTATCTCAGTCAGCACACGTAATGGAACAAGGCGCTCTGCTTAGCCGGAGAGTGTTCCTGACTAGTGTCCCTCCACAGATAAACCCACTTGTCTGCTCTATTTCTATGAGTGCCTTTCACCCCCCAATGATCCAACTGGCTACTTCAATCTCCACTGGATTTCTCACAACTTCTAGAGCCCAACAGGACTCAAGATGAAATTATCATTTTTCTCTACAGAATTTTCTCTGCAGCCAGAGTCTCCTGACTTAGAAATGCCTCTGTTGTTCAAGACCTGGAAGTTGCTAGCGGAGTGGTTATCTAATTCTGAACAATGCACTTAAACTCTAAGTCTGCTTCTTGTTTGTAAAATGCACAGTCATTAGCAAGGTGCTTAGCATACAAAATGCTCAATGAAAGTTGACAGTGATTTCAGACAAAACTGTACTTGCTGTTCTTCACTTGAGACTTCTGATGAGGAAATGGCTGTTTTTGTTCCTTAAACCTCTGTTAGTCACCTGCACCCTTTTCCAATGCCAGTATCCTCATATAAACCATGACCATCTTAGTTGTTGGAATAGCATTACTAGCCTCCTCATATCAATCCTTGCCTTCTTCCACTGGGAAGTTAGAAGTATTTCTCTAAAAATATTATCAGTTCATGCTTAAAATTCTCTGTGGCTTCCCAATAGTCTGTTAAACTGAAGTAGGCCTGCGGATGCCTTTGTACTCACTCTCTACTTATTAACAAACTACAACTTCATGTAGTTAAGTAAACTAAAGACCAGTACACTTGTGTGACAATAACAAGCAGGTTGAGTGTTACTCACTACAGCAGCAGAGCTCTCAGTTAATCCCAGGCAGGCAGCCACACCCAAGCAAGGCAAACACGACAAGCCGTTTCGGTACCTTGATTCTGCCCAAGTTCTACCTGCCCTCTCTGATGAATGGCTTTTTGCTCAAAGAAAGTGTCAAAATTTCATTTATCTAAAGTTTGTCTTTTAACAACTCCAAACTTATGAAGCTGTTTTTCTAAGTCTTTCATGACTGGCTTTGCTTAATCTCCAGACTCTTGTTTCCCTGTCCTCTGAAATCTTTGCTCAGGTTTACAGATCATCTTCCACTTCCTCCAAAATGCCAAGCATGTAGACTTCAGTGTTTGCATATGCTGTTTCTACTACCTGGAAACCCTTCCCACATCTCTTCTTAGTGTGCCCTTAGGTTTCCACCTAATATTGCTCTCTCAGGGTGATCACGTGTGATGAGCTTAACTTTCTCAGGAACACACTTTCATTACATACAAAACACTCCTAACTACTTGCTCAGTGGCTTTCATGAAACAGAAATGTAAAATAATGATGTGTTTTACTGTATTATTGCTAAAAGTCTAGAATTTTAATTGTTTAATGAGATACTATGTAACTGACTGAACAAATCAATTAACAAATAAGTATAGAGAACTCAACAGTGGTTAACCAAAAGTTGAGGCAAGTGGAAGAAAGGGTGAGTAGTTCTGAGGTACTTGGGTGTATCTAGAGAAGGAATAACTTCTAATGGTCTACAGCATAGCAGGATAACTATGGTTTACAATAGTCAGTTTTGTATTTCAATATAACCAGTAGAAAGGATTTCCAATGTTCCTAACACAAAGAAATAACAAACGCTTGAGCTGACAGAAACACCTGTTAGATAAAAAGGTGGCAGGGGCCGTGGCCGGGGACCATTTGAGGTGTGTGAGGAATGGGGCTGGGGCACTGCCCATTCCTTGCAGCCACAGCACAATGGCTGTGGTGGCAGCGGAGGCTGCTGTGGCTGAGTGGTGGCCATCTCTTGAGAACAGGAGGGGGAGTTGGGGAGGAGGGGTAGAGGAATTGTCAGTGGGAGGGTCTTGCAAGAGACCTGGTGATCTGGCAGGGAGCACAGAAGGAGGGTTGCGCACAAAGAGCAAAGAAAGGTTCAATATAGGCGGTTTGGGCTATTTGCCAGGTACTCTGGCAGAGGTTATCTAAATCTCTTAAAATATTGAAGTCTAAGGTTCCTGTCTCTGGCCACACAGAACCATTGTCTAGCTTATACTGTATCTAAGGTTCTTGTCTCTGGCCAGACAGAACCATTGTCTAGCTTGTACTGTGGGCAGGCAGTGGTGCAGAGAAATTTGATGTGCTTAGGTCTGACAGTGTCCAGAAGATCTAAAGTTTTTAAGGAATTTAAGAGGCAAGAGAGGGTAGCGAGTCCAGTAGGTTTAGAATTGAGGTTGCCCATTGTAATTAAAGCTATGAGGAAGAGAATGAAAAGGACAGTGAGTGTGAGGAGATGAGAGATAAAGAGGGGAAGGGGAAGGCTTATGGGCATCTCCAGGGAAAGAGGAGGTTGGGAGTGAGGCTGACTAGGAAGACAAGTACCAGAAGGAGGAGAAAGACTGAGAGGATGAGAACAAGAGAGGAAAGAGGCATAAGAGAATAGGTGTGCCAAACTGTCACACGAGATTGATGTCCAGAGAGGCGTCCCTCTGTGGAGAGGGTCCCGAAAATCAGAGTGTCAAAAGGTCCCTAGAAACAGCATCCTGTGACTAGGGAGGGGAAAACATGGGATCTCCTGACATACCAGTACGATTTAACGAGGAACAGGAGATCCAAGGACTGTATGGCACGAAGAAGAAAGGAGAGATGGGGTGGGGGCTGGTCCTTAACTCGGGCGTGAGGGAGAACCAGCAGCCTAATGGCTGCAGAGGGGTAGCTTATAAAGGGACAGAATGAGGAAAAAGAGAATGTTTTTCTGCTGTTTGGTACTGTTTTGGGGGCTGCCTGCTCAATGGAGGGTGTGGGGTCTGTACCTGGTTAAGCATATTGGGAAAACGGCTACTGTAAAACATGTTTTTCTACAATTACAAAGTTCAAGGAATTAACTGCAGCTGAGGGCTTGGGAAACCTGTTTGTCAGCCTGTGGGGCATGCTCTGGTAATCACAGTACACTGGTCATTAACTTCCGGGGGCTGGGAGTTGGTTGACTCAGATCCTCTTAGGAGCCTCATGGTTTCTGGGTCTGGGGTCACCTGTGATCTGAGCCCTATCAATATCAATAACTAATTATATCACCACATATTATATATTGTATAAATATTATACTGTACCCATAAATATTTTTTTGAATAGGAAAGGTAATGTATAATAAATAATTGCCTGGCTTTCCTTAATGAGTTAGGGGTTCTAAATGCTGGGGATGACCTTGGTGACAATGGTACCTTTGTTATGAATAGGAGGTTCTTGAGTATCTACACCTCAGTAGACGCTAACAAGAATATAAAAGTGGGATTAATCACCAGAAAGACCAACTATGTGATTAGCCCAACCTTCAGATAAGGAAGGAAGGTTTCAGATGGAGTTCAATCATATGGCCAGTGATTCAACCAATCATGACTATAAAGTTACATGTCTATAAGAACTATGGACACGAAGTCTGGTGAAGCTTCTTCGTTGGTGAATACGTTCATGTACTAGGAGGGTGCCCCGATTGTAGAAGGAAAGGGCACAGAAAGTTCTGTGATCGGGACCCTCCCACAACTTGTCTATGTGTCACTTCTGAGTCTGGTTTATATCTTTTATAATAAGACTACAGTCATGAGGATAGAACTGTCCTGAGCTGTGTGAATGGCTGTAGCCAATGTCAAACCTGAGTGAGCCATGGGAACCTAGAATTTATAGCCAAATGATCTCAAGTGTAGGCTGGTATCTGAAAGAAAACATGTTGGAAACTTCATTTGAACCAGTAACAACTATGTTAACTCTGGTGGTTAG